TAGTCATTCACAGAAGCAGGGAGTAGAATGGCGGCTACCAGGGTGGAGGGGAAGGGAAGATGTACATCAGGGACAGAGTTCCAGTTATGCAGGATGAATTGGTTCTAGGACCTTAACATAGTTTAGGGACACCAATATTACCGATTTTATGCTTGGAATTTACTCAGACTTCAAGGTGTACCCACCACAAAAACAAAAATGGTAACCCTGTACAGAGATGGATGTTAATTTGTTTGATTGTAGTAATGAGTTCACTATGGGTGAATCAAAACATTAAGCTCTACACCTTATATGTAATTTAAATTTTTAAGTGATACAAAAGAAAATTTTAAAGAATCAGATCTTTTTACCTGTGAAATACTATTAAGTGGGCAATTATATCTCAATCATGATGAAAAAATGATTTGCTGATCATTTTCCAAATGAAAAGTGTAAACTCACAGATCTTAGAATCATATCGAGACCCCAAAATTGAATTTTTGAAAACTAGCAAACAAAAAATTTTACAGCAAAGAATAAATACATGTTAGATAAAAATGAAATGATGAGCCAGGTGTCATGGCACATGCCTGTAATCCCAGGAGGCCAAGAGAGGAGGATCGTGAGTTTAAAGCCAGCTTCAGCAAAAGCAACTGAGTGCTAAGCAACTCAGTGAGACCCCGACTCTAAATAAAACTCAGAATTGGGCTGGGGATGTGGCTCAGTAGTTGAGTGTCCCCGAGTTCAACCTCCTGAACCCAATAATAATAATATTGAAGACTTTTTATAAGAAATTATGCAGACCAGAAGACAATGGAATAATTACAGATCCTTACAGTTTTAAAGAAGAAAGAAGACTCAACATAGAATTTTATGCCCCCAAAAAATCTTTGTCAAGTAAATTAAAAATTAAAAAAACCACTATCATCTGGTGAGCAGAGCAGAATTTATCACCAACAGACATTTATTATAAGAAAAGCTAAAATTCTCCACGGGTAAGAAAAACAATGCCAGAGAGAAACTCACAAATAAATACTGAGCACTGGAAATGGGAAATATGTAGGTAAATGTGAACATTTTTTCATCTTTAATTTCTTTTAGACCATTTCTAAAACAAAATTTATGACCTGATGTTGTGAAGGTTATAACAAAGGTAGAAGATATGCCAGCTGCATTAAGGGCAAGAGGATGAGGGAAAGAGGTTGTAGGGTTATATGTGATGTGGTCCAATATTCTTTAATGGTTGCCTGTGGAAGGTTGAAGGGAGGGATCTATTGTAAACCCCAGAGCAATGACAGAAAAAAAAAATCTGTAGCTAATAAGTCAATAGTGGATTTACTAGGAAATCCTAAAACAAATCCAGGAAAAAATTGGAGAAATAGAAAACATCAAGGAGAGTTAAACACAATGACATAAATAATGGTATTAAAAATAAGTCTTGTAAAAACTTCTATTAAAGGGCAGAGGTTGCTATGCTGGAGTTAAAAGGCAATTATGAGCTATTAGTTGTATATAAGAAACTCATTTAATATAAAGATATCAAGAACAAGTTAACACTCATGCAAAAAATGAAATTTGGTATTTCAGAAACCAATGATTTGGGCAATCTTATGATTTAGTCTCTCAATTTTAGTCTCTCAATTTTGTAGTGACAAAATTGGGTACTTGAAATGACTCACATTTGGTCTTCTTAGCAAGAAATATGTCAGTCATCATGCTACATGGAGTCACAGGCTAAGGACTTAAGTTGAAAAGCTCTTATGTATGAAAATTCCCCATATTTAGGCAATAAAGAGGCAAAGTACCATAAGTCTTTTTTGTAGACTCTGTAGCTATCCATGTCTAGGAACATGAGCAAACTGGAGATAAAGCAACCTCTATAAATTCCACAAACAAGCTCTGACCAAGTGTGGTAGTATCCCAAAGGTGATCAATTTGCACACCCATCTGCCCGACCAGAAAAGCAAAAAATCATAAAGCAATCAGGTTTAATATAGTTTAAAATTGATAATGTATGCAAAGATTCAATAAATATGACTTATAATCCATTAAACAGAAAACTGAAGTAAACCTACAGATGGTTCACACAATGGAGATAGTCGACAAGAGTGAGATACAGATCCTCCAAGAATTTGGGGCTGTGCCAGATTGTTGGTCTAGTAGTGCCCCCAAGAGACTGGCACCGACATTTGCATTGGTTTTGGTTTGTTCTACCCAAGCAGCTTCTCCAGAAGAACACCAGAAGATCTGAGAGGAACAGAATTCTTTTTTTTTTTTTTTCTGAATCTAGACATTTAAAGAATTTTTACTACAGACACAACTGAACATAGGTTTCAATGATCACACACAAAAGGAATAGACTAAAACTGTTTGAAAAAGTTACACATGGAAGACTCTAACCAGCAATCCCTGAGTAGGGCCATCAGATTTCTAGAATTACTGTTCTATAATACTCCAAAAGTTCATTTCTAAAAAGAAACCCAAAGAAACAAATGTATGATCTAATTAAAAAAACTGATAGAAACCACTCTATATTTCAAAAAGCACTCCTAAAGGGTACTCTGACATTGCAATTAATAGTAAAAGATGTTGACTCAACTATGCTGAAAGAGTAAAGAAAACTGTAAATGAGAAAACAAAGGAAATCAGGAAAATGATGAATGAACAAAACGAGAATCTCAGTAAACAAAGTACAGAAAGGAAACAAATCCTGGAGCTGAAAAGTGCAAAAACTGAAGTGGAAAGTTCACTAGAGATATTCAAAAGCAAGGCCATTGAAATTACCCCATCTGAAAGAAGAAAATGAACAGGTTGAGGAGCCTGTGGGACACCATCATGCATACCAACAAATGCACCACAGACATTCCAAAAGGGAGAGAAAGACGGGAGAATAGAGCAAGGCTGCAAGTCCACTTGCTCCATGACTCAGGATTCAAGTAGTGGGAGCACTGCTTTCTCAGTGAGGTAAGTGAAAGAGGGAATTCACCAAAATTCAATATCGGACCATCAGAAGCTCTTAGAGACTCAGAAATTTGGGTGCATTAAACAATCAAGAAAGTACACTGGAGCTGAGCCAGTTGTCACAGTGGCACTTGTTCACTGCAGTGGGGAAGGGTAACAAAGTACAAATTTGTTGTGGAAAACCTGTAGAACAGAGAAGCAACCTGAAGTCCACTGATCCAGAGGTTGCACTGTGAACTGGTATTTGAAGAGTGTTCTTTGTTTCTCAACTGGCAAGGGGACAGCTGAGGTCCATCATCTGGAGAAGACTATACCGATGCTTGGTGCTGGGGGATCCCAGCAGACCACAAAACATTGCCATACTGTCCCAGAAAGCATCTACTGTGCAGCCTAGTGTGTACCTAGAAGAACATGATTGAAACAGAGAAGACTGTACCCAGGAGGGTTCAAATCAGAGTCAAGAAGAGTGCAACTTACTTTCCCTTAGTGTCTGGTGTCACATGACCAGCTGCAGAGGGTCAGGAACCAGGTGTGAACAACTCATGGACTAAGCCTGTAAAGGCTGTATTCATGGCCAGCAGAGAGAGACCTGTGGAGGGCTGGCCCCCCTGCTCCGTGTACAATTCTTAGGAGGATACTGAGATCCAGACTCCCAGTGGAGATGGGCATCCACCTGGCCCTGGGGCATGTTGATCTAATCTTTCTAAAGCAGATACCACACAATGAAGTCCCAAAGGCCCGATTAGAGTCAAGCTCCAGCTACCAAACTCCCCACTTAGCACTGTGCATCAGCCCCACCCAGGAATGCACTGATCAGGTCTAAACAGAACTGCACTCAACAGTACTTCTCATCTGTTCTCACTTCACTGAGGAGAGGGGAAGTTGAAAGTTATTTTGACCAGCTTCAGTTTTAGGCCACTCCAGCTAGTGGCTCAGCGAGAAGAAGGGGGATGGAGAAGAGGACCTAGGAGGCAGAGGAGGAGGAGGAAAGAGAAGAAGGCAGAGGAGCAGGAGGACACCGAGGAATGTAACAGCCCCAGCCCTGCTCTTAGGAATACACAGTCCAAGAAGAAATTAAAAGTCAGTCAGGATAGGTAGGGATCATCTGTCCTCATCCTCAGTTTTTCTTCCTCAATGTGCCTTTAATTAGTTTATTTATATGCGGTGCCAAGAATTGAACCCAGTGGAGATAGAAATGTGCTAGGGGACTGCTGTACCACTGAGCCACAGCCCCAGTGCTCAACAGTGTTGGCCACCTCAGTGGAGACAAGTTTTTCATTTTTCATTAAAAGGGTGTTCTTGCTGTGCTGATTGGTCTGTGGGTGTATATATACATATTTCTTTTCTCCCTCATTTTTAGCATTTTTTAATGGAAATTTTTGTTTTGTCTTTTAAGGGTTAGGGTTTTCGTGTTCATTTATTTTGCTAGTTTTTCTTGTTTTCTTCCTCTAATAGTCAGATTCACTTGTTCTCTTTTCCTTACTTTTCTTCTTTATAGCCATCACTTGCTACATCTCTTCTGCCTCCATTGTTCACATCTTTGCAGACTCCAAGCTTTCTTTTACCATCCCATCACATTTTCTTTTCTTTTAGTAAACCCTTTGGTTTATATAATTACTTGCCCCACCATTCATGTTGTTGCAGCTGTTGGTACCATGGTGGCACAATTGACTCCTGCTGTTTACTTTAATGCAAGATCTAGTTCACAGCTAGTTATTGTTTGTGCTGCTGGCGTTGCTGACCCCACCATTTCTGTCTTTGTGGTAGTTAGTGTTGTAGATGTCCTACTAGGCACCAGGTATTTAATGCTATAGATCATTTGCTTCTGATGTTGCTATTCTTTGTTTCCCCCTTTTTCTGTGAGGTGTCAGGAACCTACTGGGACAATACAAGTTAAGAGAGTAGAGAATGCTGCCGAGCTAAACCCCGCCAAGAGACAACATATCTTGCTCTACAAACTAACCATGCTCAAACAGCATTGATATTTCAATACAAAGAACAGAAGAAACAAAACCCCAAAATAATGACCAGGGTCTAGCAGGGACCCTCAGGTCCCACTCATGGGCATCCACAACTACAGCAAAAACAAAGTTTGTGGATACCACACTTACAATGGGTCTCAGTCTAGATCATTCTTATATCACTTTAGAATATACAGCTGTTAAATGAGCAATCAGAGGGTGTATACCACACACCCTGATGTATATAACACCATAGCCAGACCTACAAGAAGGACTGCACTCTTGAGACCTACAAGGAAAGCAGAATCCTCAACCTGTGACACAATACACTCTATCAAAATGCACTAATCTTCACCAAAAAACAAGCTGGGAAACTATACTATAAAACCTACTTGGAAATATATTGGGGGCTGAGGTTGTGGCTCAGTAGTAGAGCACTTGCCTAGCATGAGTGAGGCCCTGGGTTCAGTCCCCAGCACCACATAAAAATTAACAAAGGTATTGTATCCATCTACAACTAAAAAAAAATTTTTTTTTAAAAGTATATAGAAAAACTCACCACAACTTCATATCCCAGAATACTTTGACAAGAAAAGGCTGTGCCCTAAAAAGACCTGCACATAAAAATAGAAAAGAATCCACCTCAACAGATTCATAAAACCTGACACAGGGGTCCACTTCTCTATCTACCGCGAGGGACGCTGGTGTGGAGGACACTAACTGCCACAGCTTCCAGGGCTTTGGCGAAACCTCAGGTGCGGGGTCTTCTGGCCAAGCGGCTGTGGTTTCATATCGTTGGAGCATTCACTTTTGCCCTGGAGGTTGTAGCTCTCTAAGTTTGGTGTGGCTGAGTCAAGAAAGGAGGCATATGCAGATTTCTACAGAAATTATGATTCCATGAAAGATTTTGAGGAGATGAGGAGAGGTGGAATCTTTCAGAGTGCAAAGTGATTTTGGAATAAAAAGAATTTCTTTGGATTGAGGTCTTTAGAAGTTTGTACTGACTTGTGCTCCTGAAGTATAAAACATGAAAGGCTAACAAATAGTCTTTCTTGGACAATAAACAATTAACAAATACTGTAAAAAGCAAAACAAAACCTGACACAGGTTTGCAAGAACTATGAAAAAAAAAAAAACAAGGTAACATGACACCTCCAAAAGCTTATAATTCACCAGAAACTGACTCCAAAGATATAGAAGTCAATGAAATATTAGACAGAATTTTAAATTATTGTAAAATTATCAAGAAACTCTGAAGAACTTGAACAACTGGATGAATTAAGGAAATCAGTATAGGAGATGAGTGAGAGATTCAATAGGAGATAGAGATATTGAAAAAGAACCAAAACTCTTGAAAATAAAATACAATAAATCAAAATGTTCTGTTGAAAGCCTCTTTAGTAGAGTAGACCGTGCTGAGGACAGAATCTTGAGCTGGAAGACCAAGTAGCCAGCTGCGAACATCCAGATAGCATTAAAGGAAATGATTAACCATGACCAGAATATACAAGAACTCTGGGACAACATTAAAAGTTCAAATTTAAGAATCCCTTGAATCAAAGAACACTGTGAGATGCAGATTAATGGCATGGATAAATTCTTCAGTGAAATAAGACAATTTTCCAAACCTTGAAAATGAGATGGACATCAAAACTTGGGATTCATTCAGAACCCCAAATAGACAAGATTTTTAAAAAAGTCTCTGTGAATGCTATAATTAGAATGTCTAATGCACAGAACAAAGATAGAATTTTTAAAAACTTCAAGAGAAGATTTCATTGTGACCTTTATGAAGGTCACTTTTATAAATAAGCCAATCAATAACTCCTGCCTTCTTAGCACAGTCCAGGAGGGCTTGGAATGCTATGTTCCAAGCCCCATAAGAAAATCATCAACCAAGATTACTATATCCAGCATAGCTACCCTTCAGAATCAAAGAGGAAATAATATCCCTACAAGATAAACAGAGGGCTGGGGATGTGGCTCAAGCGGTAGCGCACTCGCCTGGCATGCGTGTGGCCCGGGTTCGATCCTCAGCACCACATACAAACAAAGATGTTGTGTCCGCCGAAAACTAAGAAATAAATAGATATTAAAATTCTCTCTCTCTCTCTCCCTGTTTAAAAAAAAAAGATAAACAGAAACTGAAAGAATTAATGACTGCTAAGCTGGAACTAGAGAAAAATATTTAAATATAACAAAAATTTTAAAAAAGAACTCCAGAGACAGCAAATGTGCAAATATCATTTTGAAGAGCAGATAATCAAATGAGAAACAGAACCACATTAAACATTAGAAATTAATCAAGCCTGGCATGGTGGTGCACACCTGTAATCCCAGTGGCCCAGGAGGCTGAGGCAGGAGAATCGCGAGTTCAAAGCCAGCCTCATCAAAAGTGAAGCGTTAAGCAACTCAGTAAGACCCTGTCCCTAAATAAAATGCAGAATAGAGCTGGGGATGTGACTTGGTAGTCGAGTTCCCCCAAGTTCAATTCCTAGTAATAAAAAAAGAGAATGTAATCAAAAATGGTAGGAATTAAACATCTCTCTATAACAACATTGAATGTAAATGGTCTCAAATCTTCAATTAAAAGACATAGGCTGTCAAAATGGATTTAATATAACACCCAACTATATGTTGTTTGCAAGAAACTCACCTTATAGGCAAAGACAGTCACAGGCAAAAAGTGAAGGAATGGAAATTGTTGTATCATGTAAATGGAACCTGAAAACAAGCCGAAGTAGCTACTCTAATATCCCACAAAGCAGACTTCAAGCCAAAAATCAGGCAAAGAATGTCAGTTCATGCTGATAAAGACATCAATCCAACAAGAAGTTCTGATAGTAAATACTTATTCCCCAAACATCAGTGCACCTAATTACATAAAACAGACACTACTCAACTTGCAGACTCAGACAGACCCCAGTACAATAATACTGGGTGATTTCCACATACCTTTCTCACCAATAGGTCATCCAGACAAATTCAGTGAAGACCCTCTATAACTTATAAATCAAATGAGTGTAGACATCTATACACTATTTCATCCAACAGCCAAATTCACTTTTTTCCTCAGCCCTTCATAAAACCTTCTCCAAAGCAGACCATGTTTTAGGCCACAAAGCAACTCTTAGCAAATACCAATTTTTAAAATAATTTCTTGCATCTTATCTGACTGTAGTGAAATGAAATTAGAAATCAACACTCCTCCCCCCCACAAAAAAAACTTATAGAAATTCTAAAGACACATGGAGATTGAACAGTATACTTTTGAATAATGAAAGGGTGATAGAGGAAATTGGGGGAAATTTTAAAATTCTTAAAATTAAATGAGACTCAAGATACAAAATACCAGAACCTCGGAGTGAGAAAGCGAGTGAGTGAGTGAGAGTGTGTGGGGGAGTATTTGGCTTGTTGTCGGTGACTTCCCCCTCCCCTCCACCCCTCCCCCTCCCTGGGCCGTAGGAAAGGAGCCATAACGATGATATCCAGGTGGCGAGCAATGCTGACAAACAGGCTCATCATAATGCACTGGAACAAAAACGCAGGGACCACATCAAAGACAGCTTTCATAGTTTGCAGGACTCGGTCCCATCACTCCAAGGAGAGAAGGCATCTGGTGCCCAAATCCTAGACAAAGCCGCAGAGTATATCCAGTATATGCGAAGGGAAAACCACATGCACCAGCAAGATACTGATGACCTCAAGCGGCAGAATGCTCTTCTGGAGCAGCAAGTCCGTGCACTGGAGAAGGCGAGGTCCAGTGCCCAACTGCAGACCAGCTACCCCTGCTCAGACAACAGCCTCTACACCAACCCCAAGGGCAGCACCATCTCTGCCTTCTATGGGGGCTCTGACTCCTGCTCAGAGTGAGAGCCTGGAGAGCCCCAAAGTAGGAAGAAACTCCAGATGGAGGCCAGCTAAGCCACACAGGGCGGCCAGCAATAAAAACTGTCTGTCTCCTCCATCATCTCATCCTCCTCCCAGTTCATCATTAGAACCCTCATAACCACTTAAAAGACTCTTTATTTTTCTTTTTAATTTTTATTTTTATGTAGAAGCTCTTGGACAACAGCTCTTGTTCTCCTTCCCTATTTACACTTTTTTTTTTAATGTATTCCCTTCAGGGATTCCCTGTCCCCACCAGACGTTTTTAAACCAAAACACCCCAACTTGGCAGCTTTTTCTGTGGAGGACAGACGGCTGGCCCGACCTCTGAGCACATGGTGTCCTGGCCACCCCACCAGCTCCTCCAGCCCTGGGGGCCTCTCCTCCCGGTCCCCTCCCCTTTGTTTGATAGACTTTGTGAATCTGTGAACTGCTCTACTTTGAGAAGATGACCAGTTTGGAGTAATCAGAATTACCACCTCTCCTTCTTAAGGATTTTTTTTTTCCTAAAAAGCTATTTAACCCTTGTTGAGAGACCCGACCTTGAAGAAGTTTGTGGTATAAAAGGAAAGTGGGGACAGATTTGCAGAGTTCTTGGCACGTTTCACTCCCGCTTCTCTCAGCCAGTTGTGTAAGCCTGCAGTGCCAGCCGTACCGAGGGCCGAGTGACACTTGTGGTATGTACTGGAGATGGCAGCAGAGAAGCGGCAGCCACCAGGGAGGGGTAGGGGGTGGTTGGGGGTGGGACATGGAGGGATCATTGGGTGGGGTAGAGGTTTTGTATTGAGGGCCAGTGATGATGTTTGGATATTTCCTACTACTGAAATTTGAATCTGAATGAATTGTCCCTATTTCTGATGATGTCAATTATTGCAAAGCCACAGATTCATAAAGTAATGATCAATTCTTCCTTCCTTTTCATGTGTATTTCTAAGAAATAGAGCCAACTGATTTTGTAATATAAATTCCAAGAGCAATTTACCTGGTACTAAACCCGCACCCCAGTGCGGCCCCTTTCCCCACCCTCACCCCACTTCCTCCTGTTCCCAAACCTGTCTCCATTGTGTGATCCAGCTCGGGTTCTGGCTGTGGTCAACAGATCCCAGTGAAGGGTTTTGTGTGTTTGGGCCTCATTTCTTTGTCTTTTTCCCACTCTGTTCTGGCATTTGCTGATCTCTGGTGTATACTCTGTAGTCTCGGTCTGTGTTTGATTCCATTCCATGGAAATAAAAAGTATATTGTACCTACTGCGGAAGAATTGTCTTGCAAGTTAAGGCTTCCCCCTTTACTATAAGACTATAAATAAAAACTTATTTTATCCTTAAAAAAAAAAATACCAGAACCTCTGGGACACTATGAAGATGGTTCTGAGAGGAACATTTATAGCTATAAAAGCCTACATAGGAAAATCCCAACCAAACTAATGATGCATCTCAAGGCCCTTAAAAAACAAGGAACAAATAAATTTCAAAACCAGTAGAAGGAAGGAAATAATTCAGAGCAGAGGAAAAAAAAATTACAAAGGGTCAGTGAAATGAAGAGAGGGTTTTTTAAAAAGAAACAAGATTTGGTATTTTCTTAGCAAAACTAACCAGAAGAAAGAGAAAAACCCAAATAAATATTAGAGATGAAGAAGGAAATTTTGCCACAGCCATCTCAGAAATCCAGAGGATCATTAGGGACTGTTTCGAAAACTTCTACTCAAGTAAATTTGAAAACCTAGAAGAAAGTGACATTTCTAGATACATATGTCCTGCCAAAATTGAATCAAAAGGACACAGGAAAACAGTCCAATAACTAGCAATGAGATAGAAGCCATAATGAAAAGAAGCCATGATGAAAAGCCTTCCAGCAAAGTAAAAAGCCCACGACCAAATGGATTCTCAGCTGGATTCTACCAAACTTTTAAAGAACTAATTGTCAGATCAGGCGGGGCAGGCAGCAACCAAAGGAGGCAGATTTAAAAGAGCTACTGAACAGGCTTTATTGAGATATCACTCCCGGGCAGAACTCGATCAGACCCACAGAGGGGACAGGGGAAGGGTCTGAGGAGAAACCGCATGGAAGCTCGACCGGACTGGACTTCTAAGGGGCTTACAGCAGGAAGGGAAGGGCTTGGGACAGGAAAAGGTGTTTCTAGGGTCCCTTGCCCCCTTGGAGTTGGTCAGGGGAGTTGGCTGAACTCCAGGATTGGCCAGGGGATCCTGCTGATTGACAGGTGTTAGTCAGGAGATCTGGCTGATTGACAGGCATTTCCGCTGGCATCTGATTGATGTTCTTTTCCGGAGCAGGCTGCTTTGTTCTAAGTTGCCACTAAGTCGCCACCAAGTCACCACCACCGACCTAACACTAATGCCAATGCTCCTCAAATTATTTCATGAAACAGAAAGGGGGAAATAATTCCAAATTCATTCTATAAAGCCAGTATCACCCTGATATTAAACCAAAGAAGGACACTTTAAGAAAACTACAGACCAATATTCCTAATGAATGTAGATGCAAAAATCCTTTATAAAATGTTAGCAAATCATATTTGACAACATATTAAAAAGATTGTACATAATGACCAAGCTGGTTTTATACCAGGGTTATGAGGATGGTTTAATATATGCAAATAATCAAATAGGTATAAGGACCAAAATATCATAGTCATCTCAATATAGAGAGGGGCTTTGACAAAATTCAGCCCCCATTCATGATTTAACAAACAAACAAACAAAAACCACTGAAGAAACTGGGGTTAGAAGGAACTTACCTCGTCATCATGAGGGAGATATATACAACAAACCCAAAGCCAACCTCACAACAAATGGGGAAAATCTGAAAGCATTTCTGAAAAATCCAGAGGAAGACAAGAAGTCCTCTTATCTTTCCTGTTCAATACATACTAAAACTTCTAGCCAGAGCAATTAAGCAAGAGAAGGAAATAGAGGGGATAAAAATTAGGAAAGGAAGAAATCAAATTATCACTCTTTGCAGATGATATAATCCTATACTCAGGAGCTCCAAAAGGCCTGTAACCCCGGTAACTCAGGAGGCTGAGGCAGGAGGATCACAGATTCAAGGCCCCTGGGTTCAATTCCCAGTACAACAACGACAACAATAACAACAACAAAAAAAACAAACCAATAGGGTTCCTATAGACCAATAAAGCATCCACTGAAATCAGTAACACAATCCCATTCATGATAGCCTTAAAACACACAGTAAATCTAACCAAGGAGGTTGAGAGACCTGTAAAATGAAAACTACAAAACAATGAAGAAAAAAATTGAAGACATAAGAATGGAAAGGCCTCCTATGTTCATGAATAGGCAGAATTAATATTGTTAAAGTGGTCATACTATCAATAGCAACATATAGATTCAATGCAATCCCATCAAAACACCAGTGACATTCCCCACAGAACTAGGTTGGGGGGGGGGGGGGAGAAACGTCCTAATATTCATTTGGAAGAAGACCTAGAATAGCCAAAGCAATTCTGAGCCACAAAAAAAGCAATGCTGGAGTCATCCCGATACCCAGCTTCAAATCACTACAGAGCTTCAGTGACAAAAACTGAATGGTACTGCCACAAACACAGACACATAAATCAATGGTGCAGCCGAGGAACGGAGCAAGACGAGAAACAGGACGCAGGGGACCCAAAGCTGTGGAAAGCTAAGGATGTTTATTTTAAGCAGCCCAGCTAATATATGTCTCTTGTGTTAATCTTTACAGTTCAGCAAGCTTTTTGAGGTTAACATAAGATACCAAGAATAACATTAAAATAATGCAGTGTTCATAAGCCATTTCCTTTGTCTCTTAGATCTAAGCCCAATGATAAGCACAATTCAAGGGGAACAAATTAACAAGAATATCCCCCAAATAATGTTAACCATGGGAAACGCATGAAGCCAGTCTCAGTCTCAAGAGGAACTTATGGCAAGTCTGACCATGTCAGCAGAGTGTGTCCTGAGAACTGTGTGCTGTTCTTACTCACTCCAGTGTGCCAAGAGCTCGGAGGATGTTAACCCCGAGACAGCTGCAGGGCTTCCACAGGCCTCGAGACTTAAACCACTGCATTAGTGCAGAACAGGAGAAGCGCACACAGCTACAGTCACCTGATCTTCAGAAGGTGCCCAAAACAGACACTGGAGAAAATGCAGCCTTTAAAAACTGGTGTTGGGGAAACTGGCTATCCATATGTAGAAGAAAGAAACCAGACCCTTTTTCCTCGTTTTTTGTGCATGCATGTGTGCGCATGCACACACACACATCAGAAACTATGCAACTCCCAGAAGAAAATTTTAGAGTCAACACTCCAATATATAGGTACCGGCAACAGCTTTCTCAATCGAACCCCTAAAGCTCAAGAAATAATGCCAAGAGTTAATAAAGGGAATAGCATCAAATTAAAAAGCTTCTGCCCAACAAAGGAAACACTTAGGAGTGTGAAGAGAGAACCTATGGAATGGGAGAAAAATCTTTGCTAGCTACTCTTCTGACAGAGGTAGATATCTAGAATATATAAAGAACTCAAACTTAACACCCAAAAAAGAACCCAATTAATAAATTGTCAAATGAACTAAACAGACACTTCTCAAAAGAATACAATTGTGTGCATGTACAAATATGTAACAAATCCCATCAGTAATGTACAACTATAATGCACCAATAAAAACTGTGAAGGGCTGCAGTTGTGCCTCAATGGCAGAGCACTTGCCTAGCACATGTGAGGCACTGGGTTCGATCCTCAGCACCACATAAAATAAATAAAATGTTGTGTCCATCTACAACTAAATAAAATTTTAAATTGTGGGGGGAAAATACAAATGGCTAAAAAATATATGAAAAAATGTTCAGCATCATTATCAATTAGGGAAATGCAAATCAAAACTACACTCAGATTTCCTCTGACTCTAGTTAGAAAGGTAGCCATCAAGAACAGACAATAAATGCCAGAAAAGATATGGAGAAAAAGCAACACTTTTAGAATATCCATAGGATTGTAAATTAGTACAATCACTATGGAAATCAGTATGGAGTATCCTCAA